AAATAGTAAACACATTTGCCTTTATGATGTTAAAGAGAAATTATTAATAAAAAAATATCAGATATCACACAACTTATCATTAGATGGAATACAAGAATTTTTGAATAGTAAATATATGACTGAAGCAGGACCTCTTGATTTGATAGATCAATCTGGAGATCTCAGTGATTTAGAAGATAGACTTGATACTAATTTACCTGGAACTCAGAAAGGAGACCTTTCTGTACGAAAGACTCGACCAGAAATTCGTACAAAATGTGTAAAATTTTCACCAACAGGTAGATCTTGGGCTGCTGCATCAACTGAAGGTTTACTTATTTATTCATTAGATGAATTATTACTTTTCGATCCTTTTGATTTGGAGATGGATATTACACCAAGTTCTATTCTGAAAACATTGAATTCTAAAGATTATTTGAAAGCTCTCGTCATGTCTTTTAGACTTAATGAACGCTATATAATACGCCAAGTTTATGAAACTATTCCGCCTGATGATATTGAATTAGTTGTTAAAGATCTACCTGAAAAATACATTGACAAATTTTTTAAATTTATTGCTGTTAATATAGAAGAATCACCACATCTTGAATTTCATTTACTATGGATTATCAAATTATTAACTAAACATGGTAAATATTTGAAACAACGTTCAAATGAGTTTTCTACTATACTACGATTATTACAAAAGGGAATCGGAAAAGTACAAGAAGATATAGCAAAATTGTAAGAAATTCTTTATTTATTTATTTATTTATAATTTTCATTAACATTTTTACATTGCTAATATTTGACATTTAATACAGATGTGATGAAAATACATATACAATGGAATACATTTTAAGTACATATAAAAATAAAGAATGATGCAAATATTTTTCATTAATAAAAAAAAAAAAAAATTTATTTAAACCGTAGAATTCAGATTAAGATATTATAATTACCTTTGAATATCAAAATTGAATTATAAATTTTCTTTATATATATTTGCATTTTCACTATTTTACTGTGTAAATTGAATTTCTAGTTCAACCGATTTATTAGATATCGGTTCTTTTGCTGAAATAATACATTTTTTATTAATATCTATTTCTATAGTAATGTCAACTTTAAGTTCATTCATCTTTTTTTCAGGTAAATCAGTTAACACCAGCTCAGCTAACATTTTTGCAGGAGAAATAAGATGCCTTTCTTGTAAAGGAGTATCTAAATTCGAATCATTATCCAAATTATCTTCAGTTGGTGGAGAAGGCTTAGGAACTATAATGTCACCTTCCCATATTGGAGCATAAAATTTTTTTTGATCATCAATCATATTTGAGAATTGAAAAATACGGCGAGCAGGAAGAGGAGTGTTTGCTGGTATCATGATCACAAATTCATTCTCAGCATTGAGTACGCCTATAGGTTTCGATAGATGAGGAACAAGGGTGTTCGAGGTGTCAATGCTATCAGAAATCATTTTATCATCTAAAGC